GTTTTTTTTTCTTCCCCCCCCCCCCCCCCCCCCCCCCCCCCGCACCGGTTCTTTGGTCGGAGTAGCGTAACAGGGTTTTGGGGAGAGGGACGGAGGGGGGTGCAACTTAACTAGCCAGGTGACAGGGATCACAAAACGCTTGCCTCAAAAGAGGAGTTGCTGAACTGTAGAAAAGGCTTCATTCATATAGAGTGTTTAGTTTACATATTTAAACAACGTAGGAGAAGTGAAACTACGATGTATTATACCAGCACGGCTCATTCTGGAGTCCGTAGGTTAAGAAGGAGTAGGGGGATTCCGGAGGTTTGTACCATGTAATTCATTTCTGAGCACTGCCGCTTGCTCCGCTTTGTGTGATGCAAGGAATCTGAGGGCTAACAAACAGGTTGTATCTGGGAAACAGCGTATTCTTCCTGGGTTTGTTTAAGTAGTCAGCTGACACCTCGTTAAGTCACTTTCCCAATGAGAAGACTTGTATAACTATACTTAGAGTGAACAGGTTTTTGCTGAACATATAGAAATGATGCTTTTCTCTCCACCCCCAAGTCTGCCTTTCTATTGACCACAGTGTTCAAAGTGCATGTACATGCTGGTTCTATTACTTCCTTACTTCCTCCCTCACTCACTCCCTCCTAAAACCAGTTTGTTTTGTTAGCGTCCGTATTTTTCTTTCTGCCCCAGACAGAAAACACTTCAGTTGTTGCTCGGATTGCTTTTTCTGCCCTCATCTTCTGGGAAAAACTTCCCTAGATCATAGGGTAAGCTCCTGCACGAAGGCCCAATGCCCATTGTTTGGGACAACAGCTTTCTGTTGTCACCTCTTTTGTTGGTAGAGGACCATTTAGACCTTTCTTCCAGAAGAAACCATGTGGGTCTCCTTACCGAGTGTACCTGACCCTACAATGCTAGTTAACCAGATATTTGGTTTTGTGGGTGGGTTTTGGTTTGGTTTGTGGTGGTTTTTTGTTTGTTTGTTTGTTTTGCATTTCCTGCTTTAAAGAATACCATAGCTATGAGATATACTGTTCTATCACTCTTGCTGAGATTTCACTTACAAAAAGCTTATGGAGGGTTAAGGAAGGACAGGCATAAACTTTTGCAGTTTAGATGAGAACAACAGATGAAGCACCATTTATTGGCTCTATTGTTATCTCTGAGCAGGTTAAAGATATCGTATAGCTTATAACCCTTTTAAATCATGCTGTAGATAGAATTCCTAAAGTACTGTTTGCCCAACTCTAGTGAAGGTACATAGAAATTAATTTCATCTCTTGTGGGCTATTGTCCATGAAGACCAGTCTTCTTTTCAAACAGCAACGACATTTACTCTTTAATGAGCTGAATGTAGCTTAAACACTAGCGATTGGGCTGATTTGAGGGAGCTGCCACAGGCTCTGGATCTGTGTGGGATAAAATGTTTTCATGATTGTCTGCAAGTTGTTCTTTTTCACGGAAGCTTTTCACAGTTAGTAGGCAAGGAGGGAGACAGTTTTATTCTTTTATGCATATGGACCTCTTTCTCCTCCCCTTCCTTAATGCCAAAAAAACTTCTAAAATAGAGGCATTTATGAGTGCCTGTGCATGACTCAGGTGAATGACTTGCAGATATTAAAGACAGCATTTATAGTAAATCAATTGCTTGATAAGGAAAAGTGCATTGAGGGCATGTTCTGTATTATGTTTTATAAAGGAAGGTTGGAGCAAAATCCTGTTTCTTTCACCTGTTGACTTGGGAGGTCGTTAATTGTGTCTGACAACTAAGCAAGAAAATTGGGATATTTGCTGGGTCTAGAATTTCTTTGTGGGTAGGCAAAGTTATTGATCCCTCTCAAGCTGGATGGATGAGGTAGTGAATTGCAGCCTTGGGAATATTTTCCTGAGGAAGGGCTGCATGATCAAGCTCTATGTAATCTTTCTACCTATTTTCCAAAGGGTTCATCACTTAATAGATTTCAGCTGAGCACCCATTAAATGACAATATTTAAATGGGAGTTGAGTGTTTAGAAAATTTGATCCTGTGTATACATATATTCTCCCTTCTCAGCAAGAAATACTGTTCTCATTCTCTAGTTTATTCATGGATAATCTTGTTCCGTTCTTCATTGTGCAATTTCTATGACAAATGTGGTTTTGACTATTTATTAGCAATTTTAATAGTGCTAGTGTGCTCTTGCTTTCTCCTATATCTCTTAGTACAGGTAAATTAACCTTTGAATCCATGACGACCTGCTCTCTCCAAGATGTATAAAATGCTGAGGGTGGAAAATTGAACATGCCTGCTACAGTAGTATAAATTTGGAGTGACTTAACTGACTAAAAGTAAACTGACTGTGTTTTGTGCTAGAATCTGGCTTAGACTTGTGTATTTCTCAATAACATGTATTTACAAGACTTTTTCCCTCTCTTTTCTCTGTTCACTAGCCTGTGGTGGAAGATGCTGCCCTGGATGAAGAACCTGCAAAAGAGGTAAATCTGTTTTGTTCATGGATCACACAAATGTTAGGAAATTATTATGATATAATCTTCTGCCTTCACGGAAACAAAATGTCTCTGGTACTTCTCCACATGCTTCTGGCCCCGAAGATGCAAAACCAACCCATTTTTTGGTCTCTTATTACAGGATCAAGTGAAAAAAGGGGAATAGACTTGTTCAACTACAGGTTAGGGAATTTTATTTTACATATATTATCCTTGTGCTGGTTTTCCAAGAAAGAACATAAAACTTCATGAGGTCTATTGATTTCTTGCAGAGAAGATTTTGTGATGACTTCAAAAAGAGTAGCTGTCATCAGAACAATGCTTGTGTATTGTGAATTGTGCCTGATGAATTAACCCCAAATACTATTAAATTGAATTAAATTGTGTTTGTCCACTAGGATGCTCTTCATCGAGAGCAAGACTGAGCTAACTCTTTCTTTCAAGTTAATCTGTTGTTTGTATTATTGTAGCATTGTACTATTCTGCTAATTTAAAACAAAACCAAAAACACCTACAGAAAAACACAAGTCTTGCCTCAAAGTGTTTAAATGTCAACTAGAGGAGATAGAAGGTGATATGAAAATACAAAGCAGGTGAGAACAAATCAACATTCACTATTATGATGAGCTGAGGGCAAAGTTTGACTGTAAAACTGGCTGCTGCTTGTCCTAGGTGCTGCTGGTTTGTGTAGAGCAAATCAAGGTGTGCTTGAAAGATGGTTAGGCTTCTCCTGATTTCAAAAAGTGAAGGAGACTGAATCCTTTCAGGATTGAAGGAAGGCTGCAAAGGCACTTGTCTAAATAGCCACCTTTGAACACACTAAGCTTCCCAGTATCTCTTATTCTTTGGAATTTCAAACTTACCTTTGTGATGTTTAGTTTTCAGTGCCAGGGTAAGTTTTTTGTTACTTTCTGCTATGTTAAAGGAATAGTTGTAACCCCCCTAATGACAGAAAGGAAGAAGAAATCTTAGTTTTGAGCTCTGTGAAATGGATGCAGCTTCCAAATGTAACTTTTTCCCCCCTTTTCTGTTTTTTAAAAAAACAGCACTAAATTACTCTTCAGAAAGCTTGGGGCTGAAATGAAGTGCACGTGTTGGGGCTTATGTTCTTTGAGAATATTGCTGAAGATTAAATTTCTGGTTTGTGGGTTTGGGTTTTAGGATTTTTTTTTGTGAAGATAGCCTTCATTTCCTAAATGAATTGAAACCTAGTTAACTTTCATTAGGGATGCATCTTATAATTCTTAAGTTTTCAATTTGGCAGAAAAAAATTGCATGTAATGAGTACTTATATAGAAAACACAGTCCTGTCTTATTTTCTGATGCGTTTACTGCTGTAAGTATTACAATTTGCAATTTGGTATCTGCAATAGCGTTTATCTTTCTGTATGTCTACTCCTGCCTCAGCAAGGCAATTGCAGTGTCTGTGCCAAGTGGGAGGATGTACTTATGTCTGATTGAAAAACCTGCTGCACTTGTGCATTATAAAACCACATACACAGGGACCACTAACAAATGATTGACAGTGAAATATCACTGTCCAATGTAGAAGTACCCTCACCCTTCACTTAACTTTCCTCCATTCGCCTTCATTATGTGGTACTACAGAAAAATAAAATATGAAAAACTGGCTGGTTTTTGCCCTTACTCTGCTGCTGTCATGTTATTTTAACCCTTTACTGGCTTAGTCTGTAAGCCTGTTCTATTTCTATGAAGCTTGCATCTTACTGTAGTGGTATTGTAGGAAAGAATGGTCTGCTGTTCTGGTGGCTTTCTTACTGATAGCTGTACTGTGCCCAAGCCCAAAGCCATTTTTTTCAGGAAACATTAAAGCATGGCTTAAAGGGTGAATTTAAATCATGTAATGCAAGGGATCACATTTGCTCAAAGGATGGTCTTGTAAATAACCTGCTTTAGGCTATGTTGGCCTCCTGCTGTTTCTCTTACCCCATGTGTAGTATGGACAAATGAGATGGCAAAATGTATTATAAAAACTGCACCTCTCATTTTTGAGGCCTGGTCTTACTGTTGATGGACAAGTACTTTAAAAGTCTTGGGGGACATAAATTAACAGCATTGTTGGATACAGCAAGCATTTCTTGGTCCTAGAGTAGTATGTATCAGCTCTGCTCTAGAATTGTCACCTAAATTACTCAGGGTTGCTATCACCAGGGTGTTCCCCTAGGAGGTCTTCCCAAAGCCCATGGACCCTGTTTGCCCTGCCACAAAGGCAAGCAAGTTAGCTGATGGGAATTTCCTTAAGAGAGAACTTCAGACTTCTGCAGCAGTCCTTGCTTAGACCTGTGGGATGCAGTTTTTCCATAAAGTGATTCTTTTTGGCAAACTGGCCTTTTTTGTTAGGGAATGATAAGTTTGACCACGTGATTGTTAGAGGCCCAGACATGCTTAAACAAGGGTGATGTGCCTTGTGGTCTGGTCTAGGTCCAAGTTAAGCATTGACATTCTATCTAAATCCTCCTTGAAGGTGCAGTTGGCAGCAAAATTCTTTGTCACATCTTTCTAAAATAGTGAGCATGTGTGCAATACAGCTCACAGCACTTTGAAATTACAGCAATCGGAAGGTAGATTGTAACATTGCTTTGAGCTTTCAAGGGAACTTGTATGCACTAACTGAAAGCTTGTACGAGGCTCTCGGGGGAAGTAGAGGAGAGATGCGGTGGAAGTGCTGATACCCAGCCAGAAGCAGAACTGAGTAAATCCTCTTAAGTTTTGCTCTATGAAAATTGCATGGCAAAACTGAAAATGGCAGGATCTAGGCTTACTGTTAACCCCTGTACAGAGCTTCCAAAGACACATGTAACTTCTGCTGATACTCTGTACTCTTGTGCAAATGCCAATAATAGAATTGGAGGGAGCAAAGGTGGTTGCTCTGTGTGTAGTCGCATGACAAACGTGCATTGCAGGCACTGCCACTGTCCATAGAGGATATGAATTTATTGGATCTGCAATGAAAGATCAAGCTTTTATAACTAATGGCAGTTACAGCTGATGTGATAGTGTTTAGGAGCTGAAGAAAAACTATGTTGAATGATCACAGTGAGGAAAGCACAAAACCTCCATAGCAGTGGAAGCTTTATATTTGTTTCTGTAGTGCTACTGCTATCAAGGTAATGATAAATGCTCATAGCATCATAGAAAGCTGATGTTGGAAGGCACCTCTGGAGATCCTCTAGTCCAACCCTCCCTGCCTTGCTCAGAGCAGGGTCAGCTACAGGAAAGTGCTTGGGACTGTATCCAGCTGGGCCTTTGTAAGGACACCACAAACTTTCTGGGCAGCCTGTTCTAGTGTTTGATCACCCTAAGAGCAAAAACATTTTCTTGTGTTTAAATAGAATTTCCTGTGTTTTGGTTTGTGCCCACTGCTTCTTGTCACTTCACTGGATACCACTGAGAAGAGTCTGGCTCTGTTGTCTTTATTTCCTTCCTTCAGGTATTTATACATAAGATCCATTCTCCATTCCTTCCCTGTCCCCTGTGTTGTCTTCTCCAAGGGGAGCATTCCAGCTTTCTCAGACTTCCCTTTTAGGTCGGGTCCTCTCACCCCTTAATCATTTTTGTGGTGGTCCACCTTCACTGGGCTTGCATTAGTATGTTAATGTCTCTGGTGCACTGGGAAGCCCAGAATAGGATACCACTCTAGATGTCTCAGCAGTGCTGAGTAGAAGGGAAGGATCACCTCCCTTGACCCGCTGGCACCACCTTTTCTAATAGAGCCCAGGGTGTTGTCAACTTTCTTTGCCAAAAGGGTGCATTGCTGGCTCATGTTCAACTTGTCCATGGGAACTCCAGCTCCTTTTCTGCAAAAATGACTTCCAGCTGTTTGGCCCCCAGCCTGTAGCAGTGCATAGGGTTATTCTTCCCAAGGTGCAGGACCTTGCATTTCCCCTTTGCTGAGCTTCAGGGTAATCCTGTCAACCAATTTCTCCAGTCAGTAAAGGTCCCTCTGAACAGCAGCACAGCTGTCTGGTGTATCAGCTGCTACTCCATGTTTTGTAACATGTACAAACTTGCAGACTGTGTACTCTGTCCAATCATCCCAGTCGTTAATGAAGATGTTGAACAATACTGGACCCAGTGTTGACCCCTGGGGTATGCCAGTAATGACTGGCCTCCAGCTGGACTCTGTGCTGATCACACAACCTTTTGAGTATGGCAGTTCAGTTTTTGATCCATCTCGCTGTCCGCTTATCTAGTCACTACTTCATCAAGTTGTCTGAGATGGTGATGTTGAGACAATGTCAAAAGCCTTGCTTCATCAAGACAAAAACCACTCACTGCGCTACCCTCGCACACCAAAACAGTCACCTCTTCATAGAAGGCTGCCAGGTTGTTTAAGCACAATTTTCCTCTTCACAAATCTATGCTGTCTACTCCAAATCATCTCCTTGTCATTCATATGTTTGGGAATTCTTTCTAGAAGGATTTGCTTCATCACCTTTCCAGGGATCAAGGTGAGTCTGACTGGCTTGCAGTTCCCTGGATCCTCCTTCCTGAAGGTAGGAACTACATTTTGCTTTCTTCCAGCTCTCAAGAAGCTCTCCTAATTGCCATGAATCTTTGGAGTATTGAGACTGGCCTCACAATGACATCAGCCAGCTCCCTCAACACTCATAGATATATCTTATCAGGTCCTACAGATTGTTTTTTCTTAAATGTCCAGTTTGTTTAAATGTTCCCTAACCTGATTCTCTTCCACCAAGGACAAGTCTTTCTTTGCTGCCTGTCTCGGGGGCTTGGGATTCCCAAAGGCCCAGTACTGCCAGTAAAGACCAAGGCAAAGAAGGCACTGGGTACCTGGGCCGCCTTGCATCCCTTGTCACCATCTCCCCTTCCCCACTCAGCAGCAGGACCAAAGGTATTTCTTTTGCTGCTGATACACCTGTAGCAGCCATTCTTGTTGCCCAGGGTTGTGATCCTGCTTTTTGCTTTGTTCTTTTCTCTCAGGATCTTGAGTTCTTCCTTCTTGTGGTAACTGCAACCAAGACTGCCCTTGAACTTCACATTCCTGACCAGTCCTTCCTTGTTTGTAAGGATCAGGCCCAGCAGAACAATTTCCCTCAGCAGCTCCTTGATCACCTGTGTCAGGAAGCGCATTCATCAATGCAGAAATCTCCTGAACTGCTTGTGCACTTTCAGAAGATACCAGGGTGGATAAAGTGGATCCTTTGAGGATCAGGGCCTGCACGCATAAGGCTTCTTCCAGTTGTCTGAAGAAAGGCTCTACTTCTTCCTGATGGGGTTTTCTGTAGCAGGTACCTTCCACAGCATCGAGGCACATCTGTGCTAGTGTAATGCTGCACTGCCAGTAACAGCCTCTCTTTCAAAGGTGCTAGAGTAGTATTCAACTACAGAGACAACGGAGAATGTTTCCAGGCTGTTTGTTGTGATCATCACTAGGATTACCTCAAAACAGCTTAACCAGTGTACACAAGTACTAGAATTGCTGGTATATCACTTCATTTCTCTGACCAAAAAAAAGTGGCTAACTTAAGGCAGGTCAGAACGTTCTGGTTTGCCATTCAAAGAGTTGCTTTTGTTGCAAAATTGGAGAGGTGGTTGTTGGTTTTTTTTCAGTAGTATCTGGTAAACTTTCCCTTGTGTCTCCCACTTCTTTTGATCAAAAGTCCATACTAGGTGTATTGAGACTGTTTAATCAATTATAAAACTAAATGTATGTTGTGGATGATTTTTAATAGTAATCATAATGACTGTGTAGCAAAGCAAAAAAGTCTGCATCTCGGTTGTTAAGCTTGCAGGCCACGGCTTAGTATGCATATTGAGGGTCTACAAAACAGAATAACTGTAAATTTCTCTGCTGCTTCATGAGTTGTGTGTTTTGGATGTCGGCAATGATCAACCTTCCTGGGGCAGGAGGTTGTTAAAGAGAATGAGTGAAGTTTCTTGGTTATTTGTATCTGTGTATATGTTTTTATATGTATATACACACACCCCCTCATGTGACCAGCAAGATCATGGAGTGGATCCTCCTGGAAACTATGCTAAGGCACATGGAGAGTAGGGTGGTGATTGGTAACAGCCAACATGGCTTCACTAAGGGCAAATCCTGCCTGACAGATTTGGTGGCCTTCTACAACGGGGTTACAGCATTGGTGGATAAGGGAAGAGCAACGGGTGTCATCTACCTGGACTTGTCCAAAGCATTTGACACTTTCCCGCATGACATCCTTGTCTCTAAATGGGAGAGACATGGATTTGATGGATGGACCACCTGGTAGATAAGGTACTGGCTGCATGGCTGCACTCAAAGAGCTGTGGTCAACGGCATGACACCCGAGTGGAGAGCAGCGTCAAGTGACGTTCCTCAGGGGTAGGTATTGGGACCGGTGCTGTTTAATCTTTGTCGGCGACGTGGCAGTGGGATTGAGTGCACCCTCAGCAAGTTTGCAAACGACACCAAGCTGCGTGGTGCTGTTGACATGCTGGAGGGAAGGGATGGCATCCAGAAGGACCTTGACAGGCATGAGAGGTGGGCCTCTGCAAACCTCATGAAGTTCAACAAGGCCAAGTGCAAGGTCCTGCCCATGGGTCGGGGCAATCCCAAGCACAAATAATACAGGCTGGGAGAGGAGTGGATTGAGAGCAGCCCCGAGGAGAAGGACTTGGGGGTGTTGGTTGACGAGAAGCTCAACATGACCCAGCAGTGTGCACTTGCAGCCCACAAAGCCAACCGTACCCTGGGCTGCATCAGAAGAAGCGTGGCCAGCAGGTCAGGGGAGGTGATTCTCCCCCTCTACTCTGCTCTCGTGAGACCCCACCTGGAATACTGTGGTCAGCTCTGGGGCCCCCATATAAGAAGGAGATGGACCTGTTGGAGCGAGTCCAGAGGAGGGCCACAAAGATGATCAGAGGGCTGGAGCACCTCTCCTGTGAAGACAGGCTGAGAGAGTTGGGGTTGTTCAGCCTGGAGAAGAGAAGGCTCCGGGGAGACCTTATAGCAGCCTTCCAGTATCTGAAGGGGCCCTACAAGAAAGCTGGAGAGGGACTTTTTACAAAGGCATGTGGGGGTAGGACAAGGGGTAATGGCTTTAAACTGAAAGAGGGTAGATTTAGGTTAGATGTAAGGAAAAAGCTCTTCACTGTGAGGGTGGTGAGGCACGGGAACAGGTTGCCCAGAGAGGCTGTGGATGCCCCATCCCTGGCAGTGTTCAAGGCCAGGCTGGATGGGGCTTTGAGCAACCTGGTCTAGTGGAAGGGGTCCCTGCCCATGGCAGGGGGGGCTGGAACTAGATGATCTTTAAGGTCCCTTCCAACCCAAACCATTTTATGGTATGTTTCTATGATACAAAAAAACCCTCTGTACCTTATTAAAAAACTCAGGTCATAGGAACAGCATGTCCTTTCAGGGAAAAACAAATAGGAAGCTGATCATCAAATGAGTGGTACGGCACAGAGTGTAGAGAAGTATAATTATATAATGTAAAAACTCTTGAGGTGGGAAGCCTAGTTCAGGTTGCTAGATGATGACAACAATGTTTACTTAACATGCTGCTTTTTTCTTTCTCTATAAAAAACCACAAACCCTCAGAATTAAGGAACCATGTTTTAAAAAAAAAAACAACTTCAAAGTAATGAAACATTGTTTTCTTATCAAGGAATGCATTATGATCACAGTAAATAAGTAACTGTGAGTCCAGATATTATTCTGCACACCTCTCTAAAACACAGATTCATACAATTCTCTGGGATGACTTTGTTTCTTTCTATAAAAGTAGATACTGAGTGAGCTCAAATGCAGGCCCTTAACTGATTACCGGAATGTGATGACCTTGCATAGATCCTTACAAAATTATACTGGTGATGTATTTAAGAAACCAATTAAGGGTATTTTCTCCTTCCCACAGCTCTTCTTTGAGCATGTTATGTAGGTAGTGTAAGCTGTTTTACCTTAAGTAAATTTTTAAAAATTTTTAAAAATCAAGTGCTTGGCTCTGAAGGATTTGGTAGGTAATAACTTCATAAATTGACTTTGGAAATCAAATTCTTTTATGTATTCTGGGAATTCATCCACAGTGCCCATTTTTTAGCCTTTTTTTTTTTTTTTTTTTTTTTTTTTTTGGTAAATAACTGCAATTTGTTTTGGAGTGAAATTGATCAGGCAACCAACAGAATACTGGTTTCTGTTTAAACTTCATGCAAAATAACATATATAAAAATGTGCCCTTGATGGAGGTGGAGGGTTGTTCTTGACTTTGGATAAATTGTGAGAGGGGACAGCTGGGGTTACAGAATGAATGAAGTGTCCCCTTCTCCTATTGCATATCAGGGCCTGTGTTCAGAATCCCAGCACTGGAGGGAAAGCTGACAGAACAGCTGTGCTGCTGTCTTTGAATGAGAATGTTGTTACTTCTGATTCTTTAGAAATTGACTTTTTTTTGTCATCAGCCTTATCAACTGGATTGGGACAGACATAGGGGAGATATCAGTCTAAAAAGAAGAAAACATGATTTTTTTAACTTCTCCCCCCCTATAATTCATACAGCAAATAGAGAGACACATAAAACTTCAAATGTTTGGGGCAAAGTAGTGTGTAGAAAAAGTTATTACACAAACTGAAAGAATTGTGATGTTTGAACGGGACATCATTCAACTTAAAATGTTTAAGTTAATGTTAAACTTTGGTTTCTAGCTATTTTTACTGCACAGTGTCTGCTGCTTTTTTGAATTATTCTTACTGCTTTCTGACTGTGCTGTTGTGGCTCAGATGCATCAGAGACAGGATAATAGCATTTAAAAAAACTTCTGAAAAAGTCTGTGAACCTTCAACCCCTCTGGCTTTCTGCAGCCATTGCTAAGATGCTGATGATCTACGGTGAGTGGCAACCTGCGTTGAAACAATTCTTTCCATGGTGAAAGGGTGACAGATCCCATTTCTCAGAAAGCTTGGTCTTTAAGAACCAAAAATGAACTCAGGTTCAGTATCTGTTGAGACCCTAGATGAGGAGGTGATGTGTTTTTAGCTGGCAGAGAAGGTAGCTGACAATTGTAATTGGTGGCAGAGCTTTTCTTACTTGACATAACAGCTGATGCTTGCTCCCACTGAAATGTAACTCCTACATGTGTTGGCCGTGATCTTCTTGAGCCTTTATTGAATCAGGACTTTGCTGTGGCAGTGATCTTGCCTCTGTTCCTGATACTCTGAGAACTATTGACGCAGTGGGACGATGCAGTCTGCAGAGTTCAGGGACAATGTATGGCGGCGGTGTGTGTGTGGTTTTTGGTTGTGTGTTTTGGATTTTTTTAAGTTTGCAGTGTTTAGCTATTGAACAAGCAGCTAACCAACCAAATTTTTTCCTAAGTGGACACCAAAACGGTTAACTTGATTTATTCAGTCAGGCAGGCGTTCAGGTGCATAGCAATATACGTGTTCAGAAGCTTTTAAAATAAACTTTGCAGCCTGGACTGTAGCAGCCACTACTGAGCAAATGCCATGCTGAATGAGGAAAAGAAGTTCTGACAAAGTATATGTAAGACATAAAATACTTCACAGATTTAGGCTGCTTGATTTTGAACAAGGGTTATTACTTAAGACAAATGAAAGTTCATCTGTGGAAAACTGTTCCCTCACAAAAATGAAGTTGTTCCATAATGCACTTGGTGCCCAAGAAAGCGTGCTGGCTATGAAAGAGTTGTGTCATCAGGAGAGATGAGTCACTTGGCAGACCCCAGAGTCAAGGGTAAATTGTTTCCGTGATGAGTGTGGTGCCTCCTAGAGAGCTGTATTTTTTAAAGTGGAAACAAACTACAATTTGCACATAGATGGTTACAACACTAGGGTGAGAAAATCCATTCTTCATCAAAATGAGCTGAAAGTCAATTGTTTTCCCTTTTTTCCTAGCTTACTCTAGTTTTCTTGTTCACTCTGTGGCTTGTTCTCTCCTAAGAACATAGTGTTTTGTGTTGAAATAAGAATTCTTCCTTTGAATCCTCTTCTCTACTTTCCCCCTACTTCCAAGGTTTATAAGTAACTTTTCCCAAAGAAAAAGTGATGTGGCAAAGAAGCAAAATGAGCACTGCTGCTGTTCTGGAAGAAAAATGTTGCTCTGACTGCTTTATTCCAGAGATTTGATGGGAGAAATTGGAAGGTAGCTCTACCATCTGTGACTTAAAATAAAAAAAAAATATTCTCAAATAGACATTGTGAAGCACAGAAGAATTATCATGTTGTCATTTAGATGTCAAGAATTAAGCTTCTGTTTCTAACTAGTTAGGTGTTTCAGGGTGCAATTTATTTTACCCTAGACCTGACTCGTTTTCCCTGTTGACTGAAAAGGGAGCTTTGGGTAATAAATTAGTCTGGCTGTATTTGAACAAATGAGTCAAACCCAGAACTTCTGCAAGTTTATA